TTACATATTTTCTCTCCCATGTTATAATGTGTTAGGCAAGACATGTTTACATATTTTCTCTCCCATGTTATAATGTGTTAGGCAAGACATGTTTACATATTTTCTCTCCCATGTTATAATGTGTTAGGCAAGATTATTGAAGAGATCCAGAAAGATCAATTTACTTATAATGTTCTACAGTGGGGGTGCCAAACTCGATTTCATTGAGGGCTGCATAAGGGTTGTGTTTGACCTCAGGGGGGCAGGGTGGGCGTGGCCAGGGTGGATGTGGCCAGCTTGATGTCACTCATGTCAGGGCACCTGTGGTGATCTGAGCCATCTACCAGTGAAAAGGAGCGGCCCTCCTGAGCTGTTTTCACTGGCAGAGGGTTGCAGGAGACCATCGCAGTTGAAAACGGAGCTCCTAAGCTCCATTTTCACTGGCAGAGGCACCGCAAGCCAGTCCTTCACTGTTCCCAGGGTGGTCTCACAGACCAGATCTAAGCACCCCAGGGGCCAGATCCGGCCTGTGCACGTTGAGTTTGACACCCCTGTTCTACAGTTTCTCCAAACTTCATTTTATATGATTAAAGAAACGACAGGCATTTATGGTTTTTCTGTGCCAATTGGAGATTGGAGTTGTTTTTCTGAATTCTAGAACCAAAAACAAGCTGGATTGAGTTACTCCTTGGATCACTGTGAAAAGGATTGGATTACTTCTACAGCCAAAGATCTAATCCACAAATAGAACAGAAACTCTTTGCAAAGTTGCATTATCAAGGATTATCAACAAGGAAGAAACAATCGCTTTCTCTGCTTTGTTCTCTTTTGATATCCAATAGTCAGTGGGTGAAATTTTCCTGTCTTCAAAACAGCATGATCTCATTCCTGCATATCATGCTTTTGACAAATCATAACTCTAGTTCAGAGGTGGTATTTAGCAGGTTCTGACCAGTTCTGGAGAACTGGTAGCAGAATTTTTCATTAGTTCGAAGAACCAGTAAATACCACCTCTGACTGGCCCCGTCCTCACCAATTCTCTGTCTCCCAAGTCCCAGCTGATTGGGAGGAAATGGGGACTTTGGAGTAACGTACCCAGAACTGGTAGCAAAGAATTTTGAACCCCACCATTGCTTTAGTTTAGTGCATGTTCAAAATTAGTAATCCTATCTATGCTGTTGGCCTCTATAACATTTCCTTGTTTGTTTTCAATGATGAAATTTAAATTCTAACTACTTAATTCTGCCTTTAAATGAGTACTATTACATTGAATATGTGTATTGACTTATATAAAGGCCTATATGTTTTGTTTTTGGTTTGAGCCTCCCTTTTTATTGTGAAGAAGTAAATGGAACAGAAATGTTTAAAACCTTTGTTTTTCTGTGGACAGGACCTGCTGCAGTCCTGAGAAAGAGCAGATCCTTCCCCAGTTGAGGTTTCAGCTAACAACTCCAAGGCCTATGGCACCTTCCATGCTGCCACCTGTGAAATGTGAAAAAGCCATGGGAGACATTAAGAAAGCTGCAGTTATACAGCCTGGCCAGGTGCACTGCAGTGCAGAGTCTTTAGAGCAGCAAGGGCAAGCTCCTAAAATGCTCCCTGTCAAATGTCTCAGCTCTTTTAGAGGCAAGATCACTGTCAGTGACTGGAGGGCAAAACAAGCCTCAGATTCTCAGCCATACTTCATCATGCAATCTGGAAGCAGCAAGAATCAGGTAATAGGTTATACCAAGGCACTATTGATATTGTGTATGGATTCTCCTATTGTGATTTGCAAACCAGGGATAATCCATAAATATTCTTTGGATGGTGTGTAGAGAGGCTGTGGGACAATCAAGAATATTTTGACATTAGACACTTTGATAGTTTTTACCAAAATCATTGAGCTGTTTCATATTTGTACTGGTAAAAAAGAATTAAGAGAAAATGATACTATAAATTATGTAGGTGACCTGATTTTACAACCATTTATAATATAGCAGTAGACTTATATACCGCTTCATAGGCCTTTCAGGCCTCTCTAAGCGGTTTACAGAGAGTCAGCATATTGCCCCCAACAAT